GAATGCCGACGGCATGTCGAGTAGTTTTGTCGTCGTTTCTGAGGTCTGTGCATTCCATGAGAATTTGATCGCGTTGCGTTTCATTGTCAAGTTATGTCTTTATACTCCATTCCCATCAAACATTAATATTTTCCGGATGAGAAATGGACGGCAAAGCAGAAGAAATGAGTTATTCCCCGATAAAGATCAAAGAAAAATTAAATTAGGTGAGGCATGAAAAAGGCACGAAGAAGGTTTTCTGTGAAAGAATTTCTGTGACGATACGGTAGAATGAGTTTGAAACGATTCATTCAAAAAATGCTTTTTGTTTCTATTACTGCTCGAAATACTTGATATATTTTTTTTCTCATCGAACATCTCGTTTTTAATAGCGAATTCGATTGGATGCACTCAGTGCGCATTAGTGCTTCCAATCGAATTCGCCATAAGATAGTCATCAGGAAATAATAAAATCTCCGAGTTCCTAATGTTTTAAGGAGAGAGAGAGATGACGTAATTTAATATAAATTATTACTTATGAAATCGCCAATAATCTCGCAATATTCGGTGAACTATAAGATGAGGGAGGAGGGAACTATATTTTTCTTATGTGTGTACTTATAATGATATAAGAAAAAAATTCTACCCTTACAGAAATTTAATATTAAAAGATAAATGGTGATTAATTATTTATTTTGAGTATTAAAATTACTGTTGTACTTTTAATATTCAAAATAATTAAAATTAATCCTTTCCTAATTACCTTTCATAATACCTAAATAGTACTACTGCAAAATTTTAGAGGACAATATTGTCTTTTAACGTGTGATTTTTTAATCAAGTTTTCTTGGAACGTTTTATGCCTATTATTCCTCATATTATCGAGAGAGTCAAAGTCCGCCAGAAAAAACAGTTTGTTAATAGCTATCAAATTTTTGTAATAGCTACCTAAAATAGTCAACCAATTTGGTTAATATAATCAAACATAATTTTATCCTTACTCTCTAAATCAGAATCAGTGAATAATTACTGATATCAGTGCCAAATATGTCACTGGTAATCAGTGAATGAAATATGAGATCCCTAACCTATCTAATCTTTATTATGTAATTTAACTAACTTTGTTTTAGTGCATAAATTTAATAAATATGGTATTGGAAGATTGAAATTAACGCAAATATCAGTATTTTAATTATATAATGTTCAAACATTCTTCCTTTATTAGTTGAACTTCACTGATTGTACAGTGCCAAGTATGCCACTGGGTAATTAGTGACTATCCACTGATTCAGATTTAGAGAGTACAGGTTTACTATTTGGTGATACTAAATTTTTGTAAAAATTTTTAGATAAAATTATGTTTGATTATATTAACCAAAAAAAAAACATTTGGTTGAACCTACTTTGAGCAGCTATTACTAAACATTTTTTTTCTGTGCAAAATAAATCGCGAAATAAAATTCCAAAAGATATAAACTGACCTTGCATCATTGTCGCTGCTCTGGAAAGGACGTCCAAGGCACTCTCGACGGCAGACATATCTTCTTTCGTTCGTTTCGTCCGTTCGAACTTTCTTTTCTTTTTCCTCTATTCTCCTCCCCTCGCGTGCCACCCTCGCACGAAATTCGCGCGCACCCTTACAATGCTTCGTGGATCCTTAAATCTTCTTTTCACAGAAGATATCCCCTTCCTCGTTGTCGTTTTTCTGCCAAGGATACGTCGTCCTTGGCCCGTCTGCGCTTCTACGTTGCAAAATCAAGGCGCTCTGTGCAGGGACAAAAGTCGAACTTTAACTGTTTGGGCCTTCCTCGCGGCCGAAGGCGGCGCAAATAAAGTAAAACGGGGATTAAAAAACGTGACATTGTCTGTGGAATGCGGACCCCTCACCGTCGGCGTCCCCCTCTCGCGGGAGGATCCCCACCCCCGCGGCACTCCTCTCGCGGAACCTCTTCTCGCGCGACGTATCTAGCAATGGAATCGACACGTTCGCGTTCATATAGCACGTTAACGCGATTGATAATCGTTTTAATTAGATATATATTACAACATTATCGCTGCAATTTTCAGTCAATTATTGTCAATGGAATTTAAAATCGATTCTTCCTTATTAAAAAATATTATAGGCATTAATAATTTTCCAATTATAAGCGATTAATATCTATTTTTGTATTAAATTTAATGATATTTAAATTATACACATAATTATTAATTACCTAAGAAATCTAATTAAGACTCACATTTTTCTAATAAATATCGTGATACATTTCGAGTTTAACTGCTACAAAATATTCGAAAATAATTTAAATACAGTCACAAGATTCAAATAGTCATTAAGATGATAGCTTATTGCTGTATCGATTGCTAGTCTAATAGTTGAGAAAAACTTGTCAACGAAGAAAAGTACTATAAGAAAATAAGTTATTTAATTGTGTTTCATACCCATTTCTTCTGATAGTTTTCACATTCCTCCCGAGTTACAAAAATTGAAAATTGTACAATCATCACGTTCTTCTCAAGTTACAGGAATTGAAACTTGTACATCAAAATCCAAAAAAAATTCCAGAACGATGAAATAAACTTTCAAGTATGTGATTTATTGATTAACAATGAATAGTATTAATATACACTTAATGTCAAAAGATAACGTTATCGAAGCTATCGTTATTTATCATTTAATCATATTGACATTCTATTACGATATGATACACAAGTAGAACGTCAAATAAAGTCTACGTGACAATTTCAAATAAAACTCTTTCCATCAATATAGATAGAACTTTTGACACTATTTGGAAAGAAGGTGTTTGATGAAGAATGTTTTAAAATATGTCAGATATGATTTAGAAAAATACATTGACAAATATTGGTCGAACATTTTGCAAATACAATAAACTCACAATTTTCACATATGATAAACTTACAATTTTCTCTTAAATGCCTTGAATTTAGAGATACTATTCAATTTAATTGATGATTTGATTCTACTATAATATACATTTATAATATGACACACGTTAATTAGAACGTTAAAGATCCTAAAGTGAAGCTCGAACTCCGACGAAATCACCAGATGTCGTTGTTTTTCTAGCGCATCGACATGTTTTTATATATTACTACACCAATATCTTACGTACAAATTTTATAACTAACTAATCTTTCGTATTAAGTATCTAAACCTAATTCTAAGTACTCAACATTGGTTGTTCATGTAATCCCTACATCCCTAGTCAACCGGTTTAGATTACATTATCGCTTATATTTTAATTATGGAGGATTTTTAATTCTGTAAAGGCAGTTAGAAAAATACTTATTTGAAAAATAATCGGTAAAACAGCACGACTTTAGGATCTCGTTAAGCAAGGTCTACGTGAAGATATATGACAATCAGACATGGTAATTGAACTTCTTCCATCGATAGACAGAACAAAAGAAATCAATAGATAGCAAGAACTTACAACGGAATTTGAAATGCGTCAATTTATGTTAAGATACATTTAATATAATTAGGAAAATATATTAACCCTTTTAAACTGACGTCAAAATCTGTAACATCTTACCTATTGATCTATAAAGGTGCCTTTTCATGCTGACGCTCGACGCTCATTTTCAGCGTTAAAATAGGTCATGTGATAAAAATTAACGCTTGATATTCATCAATTTTTATCACGTGATTTATATTGACGCTGAAAATGAGCGTCAAGTATCAGCATGAAAAGGTATCTTAAGACTCATTTTAATGTATGTTAACTAAAAAAGGCATTAATTAGTTTCAAGAAACTAAAATGACATAAAAAAAAGAGTGAATACTAAATAGATTTTTGTAATAAAAATAATTCAAATTTGCAAGTGTAATATAAAGAAAACACTCCGAACGGTTAAAAAAGCTTGATCAAACATATTTCACAAATACCTATCCCATAAAATATGTAACATTATAGTCTCCTCGCATGAAAATTTTTTATAATATTTTTGTTAAGTCTTGAATTTAAAGATATTGTTCAATTTGATATTTTTAATAACGATTAGTTAGTTTCTACTTTTTATGAGTCTTTTCTAATATTAAACATTTTTTTCTAAGAGAAAAAAAAGAAAAGAAAATGTATACCGGGATCGTTTTCGCCTTTAATTTTACAAAAAGTAAGAGGGATGATATTTTCAATTTTAAAAATGAAAAGGGAGGTTCGTGGCTAGTTTAAAGCCATTGCTATCTTAATCGCGACCTCTCTCATTCCTTCTCATCCTTCTCGCATGCTTTTCCCGCTTCTCGCAACACTACCGTACGGTCGACATCACGATTTCATCATAACAATATAAACAACCTTTTATCCACCTTCCTACCGCTTTGCGCGATTTGCTCTTTCCGGTACTTTGACTTTTTCTTCGTTCTCTTTAAAGAACTGCGAATTTTGCATGAGTCGATAAAATAATCTTATACTTCGCATCAGTTTTCCTTTAATTAATTATAATTCAACTATTTTTAAGTCCTCATTAAAAATTAAGATATTCAATTTCCTCAAAACTAAAATTATAAAATGAATAGATGATTCAAGGACACGACTTACGATCTTAATTCCCAGATTACAAGATTAAACATTACAACTTTAATTATGTCTTATATTATTAAATTTTTCTTAATTATTATACTTATGTATGTGTTATATATGTATAAACTTTTATAAATTTAAGTCGCTTTTATTAATTTAAATTATTATTCTCAAAACTCTTCGAGTTTATTTTTTTAAAGAAAATCTTTCGACCGAGAAGGTACCGCCCGATTCCGCGTCGTTATATTTGTCGAGTTTCTTGAGTGATAAAGAACCGAGATAAGATTGAAAGGATGAATCTAGTTTACAAAGGCGCGCCGTTCCTCGGCCGTGCCTCTTCCTCTCAATTTTACGCGAGTAGTGCGCAGTGTAAACGTTTTATGAATCATGACGGCGTCGTCAGTCGGCGTGCTATTTAAACGAAAGGACGGCCCGAATAAAATGTATCGCGGACGCGAGAGTCGTCGCGCATAAATGCTACATCATTGTGCGAGAAATGACGAGCGTTTGTAAATACAAATCGCTGTAAAAGCATCGGAATTCGGAACCCTTTCAACATCACGTTGTACGTGAAATTCAACTGTAATCCACTTACAAATATTTTTACTTAGCTCCCTTTCTCGATTTCGACACAATTCCATTCGAGAAACGAATCTGAGCACGTATTATGAAATTATTCGGAATGAATTCCAATTGGAATTGTTCAATTATTCCCTAGATTTCTATTGTGTTTTCTAAGGAAAATGGAATAATTCCGATCGGAATCCATTCCGAACAGTTGTATAATACGTGCCCTATCTTTCTATGGATTGAATTTTTAGCGATGTCAAAACGACGATCAAGCTTTTGCTACTTCAATCAATTTTAAATCTATTTAATTTTGTTCAATTTTTTAAAATTGTAGTCATGTTTTGTTAAATAAAAGGACCACAAGAATTTCTCTTTTATTATGAACTATCGTGTAATTTATAAAAATTACGAATGAGATAAATCATATTCCAATCAGAAATATTTAAAAAATATAAAATTTAGAAAGACGTAAACATTAAATCTCGATAGAATCAAATAAATTGGAATTAATTATATATAAACGCTTTAAACGTTTTTAAACAAATTTGAATTTTTGTATATAAAATTACAACGAAAATTTAGAACATGTTCAATTGTGAATGCAAATGTTAGTATATTAGTATGATGTCAATGATGTATTTGTCTCATGCATTATGTGATATGCGTCGCTAAAGATTTTTCGAGTTTTATTCACATATTACTATATTGTTATCTACTGGCTAGCTTCGTAACAGCCGTCTTGCTGGTGCCTTGCCATTTGCTGTATGTATTTACATTGCAATAAATAATAATAATAATTCGATTATCGAGAGGGTTTAAATTAACGGTGTGTGATCTACAGAAAGAACGGTAAATCTTCGCACCTTTGACTAATGTCACGCATACCGCTCTAACCACTCGATCGACAGATTCCCACGTGTTATCTCGACCAAATCAGATTCAATCGAATACGTATAGGGTGTTCCGAAGTTATTGTCTTTATAAAAAAAATACAAGACTCCGAAAGCTAAGCTGAAATGATATCAGCTATTACTGTCAGAGAATAATAATTTTATATATAATACATAATTTTCAAATAATACATTTTAAGAAATCCACAAATCTATCAGTTCATCACAAGCATCAAATTTCAAAATCCATTCTTTCTCTAAAAATCCAAACTTAATTCTTCAATCAAAATTATTAAATTAAAATAAATTTGACTTGCATACTATACAGAGTGTCCCGTAAAAACCTGAACAACGTTTAAACGGGAGATTCCTGAGATCATTTTGAGACGAAAATTCTAATACCAAAATGTTGAGGCTATAATAGCTTTTGAATTATAATTGGTTAAAGATAGTGTGTAATTCGAAAACTATTATAGTGTCTCGATTTTGTATTAAGATCTTCATCTTAGAATGTTGAAAAGAATCCAGAAATAATAATAGAGGCTATAAAAGTAAAATGGTTTTTTACTTATAAGCATATAAAGTTAGCTTATGATTCAAAAAATTGTTGTAGCTTCGACATTTTCGTATTAGGATTTTCATCTCAAAATAATCTCAGGAATCTCCCCTTAAGCGTTGTTCGGTCTTTACGGGACACCCTGTATAAACCTTAAATTGCTTATTCAATAAAATTTTATAAAATATTCTTCAAAAGAAAATAA